CTTCGAAGACTCCTGAAAATAAGTTGCCCTTAGTGAGACTAGTGTCAACTGTTGTGCAAGATTTACCAATCTATCAACCAAATTTGTACGGCTGACCCTTCCTGATGCTTACCTTCTCTATATGATTCTCTTCTACTGTGGTCCCACTGCCCTCTGTTTCAGGGATCTCTCGGAGAGGCACTGCATGAGCCCGAACTGGGGTGGCACTTGTTGACGTCTCCTTTTCCAGCCTCTCACTCGAGCTTTCCGATGTCGTTGACACCTCATTCGTGCTCTCCTCAATCTTTGACGGTTCAGTCGTCTCCTCATCCGCTTTCGATGTGGTCGTGCTCTCATCTGCTGTCTGTCTGGTCTCTTTAGTCTCTTCAGTTGTTGGTGCGTGAGTTCCTTCCTCTTCCGTTTTTGATTCCGATTCAGTCGTGTCGCTTATAGCCGATGTCGTTATCTCTTCTGCTGTGGTCGCTATCGCTTCTTCTGAGGTGGCAGTCGTCGGTTCTTCACTTGTTGAACGCATTTCTTCGGTAACTGACTCTAAAGTCGAAATTTTGCTTTTCTTTACTGAAAAGAACCTCTGTAAAATGTATCGACATACCGGTTATCTTGATCTCCGTGCTCGTCTGTGGTCGATTCTCTTGAGGAACTTCAGGAGACGTCAGGTCACTCGAAGATGGCGTCGTAACAATGGTTCCGGGCTAAAAATGGAGCTTCGATGTCAGCAACTGAATTCCCGTCCTTTCACTACATTTATTTGTATGGAATAGAGAGAGGGATCGATGAGGACTCCCTTCTTACTTTGTTCAGCTTCCTCAGCTCCATCAGGACTTCACGCTCCTCTTCGCTGGATGTTTCAAATACTCTGATTTTTTTCAAAATTTCGCGTTCGGAGGAAGTGATGTTCAGCTTAGTGACCTGAATTTTTCAAACTTAGTTTTCAACTTTCGATAATTTCAGTATAAAAAGCCTGAGGTATCCAAAAGCCTGAGGTATCCAAAAACGGATCACAAATCCGCTACAATGACTAAAAGCTGACTCCTTGATGTACTCGAATTCCACGTCACAAGACAACGTCGCAACGTCTCTCTTAGCGAGTCACAAGACAATTCCAAAATCATGGAATTGTCTTGTGACTCGCTAAGACAGACGTTGCGATTTCGGTGGATAACTTATTTTGGACTGGTCTCTCCGCAACTCGGTGCAAGGCGACCTCAATTATGCCCAACGGCCATCATACTGGGTCAACGTTATCATGAATTGAGTAAAAAGCCTAAAAAGTTTAAGCCTTTGGGCGTTGATCAATCCCGTCCGAGTACGCCCCGCATTCGACCTCCATTCAGGATCGTTGTTGCGCATTGGATGCTTATATCACCAATACAATGACTTGCAGTGACCAACCACAATAGCATTCACTTACTCCACCACTATAATGGGACGGATGTGGCAGGAGGCGCACTATCACACACGCATGATCACGTGTGCTATTCCCAGACCAATATCCTCCTGGACCAACCACGGCTTCCTTCGCTCCGGGCTGGACCCATTAAGACCACCTTCTCTTGGTGGGTAGAAGCACCTGTTTGTACATCGGCTGGCCATCGTAATTCGTTGTATAAGCCGCACACACATTCAATACGCCAGTGATCTGAATGGAAGTCATGTACGGGGCGCACCCCTTGGACCCCATGGACATGACTGATTACTCCGAAATACTATCAGATGGGCTTTAAGGAGAATACACCAAAGCTATTCAATCGTGCAGGTGAGGGCTTCATGTGCATTTACACTGTAGCGAACCTCCTGTATACGGAAAATGCAATGGCCTTCAACCGATTGCAGCTGATGAAGTGAATTGGCTGAATCCGAAGTGGTGGGTTGAGTGAAGTACAAAACTGATCTGTTGAAAAATATTATTTCCTTCCGAGTGCTTTACTTCCTTACTCTTGCTATCCCCTTAATTTGTTGATCATTTATGAAGATATGCTGATAGCTAAATCGTTCGCACCCAATTCAGTCGCCCTACACCTAATTGCGAGGTGAACCTCCTGGGAACATGTTCCAAAGTTCCGGCATCGATAGGGGCGCCGTAAGATTAGCGCTCACAGGTTTAGCGAAAACTAAGCGCTGTCGTTTTGAGATGAATAGAGGTTAGGAAGTGAGGAGTGTTCAGGCTGAAGTGCTCAGCCATCGTTTCCGAGGAGATGCACTATTGAGGTTGAAGCGCTTTGTCCAACCCTCACAATCCTGTCAGTCTATTCGTCATGGTAATAAAGGCAGGTGTACGGTTTAAGTTAATGGGACTTATTTGGCGAACAGCGTAAAAATATTCGCGGAGCATCTTTAAGAACATGACCTTCCAGCACTGCTGCTATTACGATGAACCTTCCTCTGATTTACAGCACCGTTAAAAGACTATGTGTCAGGACCCCGACCATGTAAAGCTTAGTTAAGTACTATATGAAGAAGCGTCTACAGAGGTGGGAACAATGTTTGGGTAGGCAAAAATGACACGGTGGAAGTCCGCGTTACATAGCAGAGAACCAGAGACAAAGCTTTCTAACTCGCCTTCAAGAAAGCCAGGATACAGAGGAAGGGAAGAGACTGACAAAGGGTGCAGTAGGCTTATGGATGAATAGAAGGACACCGCTCACATGGGCAAAGCGTTGTCTAAAGGATGGAATGGGTGAGAGCACAATACCACAAAATCCATAGCAGTATACCAGGATTGCCTATATAAAATATGTTAACCATGAAAAAACTATGCGAAGCTTGGACTACGAAGATAGGAGCGTGTTCTCGCGCTCAAGAAGCAGACTGAGAAGTGTTATCAGAATAAGGATGGACGATGAAGTGTGATAGCATCTTGGGCATTCGAGAAAGAGGCAAAATCCAAACAATAGGTAATTAAGGTCTTTTACGCAACTCTTTCTGAACTCTGCAGGGATTTTCGGTATGTCAAGCGAATGAATCTACAGCATGTCCGATTCTCCGACTTTCTCCATTTAAACGAATATAAGGGGATGGTCCCAACCCTGAGGTATTTGAAGTCGCATAATATAGTTTAAAAAAGGGGTACTTTTGAATAGAAGTCGAATTATTCAAGCTGATGCAAAGCAGCACCGAGAGGAATGATTCGAGAGTAAATCTTCTCCGAATTATTCTTTTCTGCGCATATTTTGCTTTTTTTCCTTTTGCTCTTTCATCTTTCAGTGCACATGTTTTTATTTTCCTTTATCTAAGCCTTGACTGTCCGTGTGCTTACTTGCGTATTTGTAAAATAGAGGTAAACTCCAATCTTGCACTGAAAGCAAGAAAACAAATTGCTACAGCTGGTGGTGTTCGAAAAAGCAGTGAGCACCTTCTCTCTCCCCCTACATAGGTGGTAATAGGTGTATAGATATGGAGTAACCAATCCAAGGCATTTGTCAATTATTACGTGCTTGGGAAAGCTGGTATGGTTTGGTGAGAAGTTGAACAACGGACTACCAAGATATCTAACGTGGGAAGGGAGACGAACTAAGATTGTTTTACTGCCAGGAATTTCTACTCAGCCTGGTGGGTATGAAATCCATAGGGGAAACAATCGTCCCTTTGAGATTAGACTTACATCCATACATGACAGCATCTGTGACCAAGAAGTGCAACTATGAATAATCCCCGTGAATTTTGGACATTCCCTTTCAGTGCCTTACCTCTTCGACGTAGTCCTCTCCATTCGCATCAGTGGTGTTGACCTTTTTTGCAGGGGTTGTGGATCCGAATCCGAGAAGTTCGAATATTTGCTCCAATTTCCCCCATAGGAAGTTCTTCGACAGTTGTTGCTGTAAACATTTTGGACTCGCTTTATAGCCAGCTCCAAGAAATCATAAGACCATCAACTTACCTGCTTGTGCCGCTTGCTGCTTCGTTCGCAGATGAACCGGACGGGCATCTGGTTGCGCGTAGTCGCCTCACAGTCCACGTCGTCCAGTACGCGAGCGTGTATCCGTAGCAGAGCACATCTTTCTAGCCCATCAGTCGAGTGATCGAATGGTTCACCAGACATCCAAGAGCTACAATCGAGGCATTAGTAGAAAGATAGTGCTCGGGGAAGGATGGAACAACTACAAATCGTCCATCATGTATTATGTGGTTAAGATTTTTAGGCATCAATTGCTGAGAGTTCTTCGATAAGGATTAATAAAAAAAGTTGCTAATATCTCTCTGTCGGTGTGAGCTCTCAGTATTGAGAGCAGCACCTAATCAAAACAAGATTTGATGAAGCCCGGAGATGGTAAAAGTTCGAACTGTATACAGTAGACAGCTACATAAATTGTGAATTTTCACGACTATTTCACGACACCTACTGGATGTTCCTAAGAAATAGTGCAGAGATCACAAGGAGCTAAGAATTTTTAAAAGGTGTGATGGGATAGATAGCCTCAAATATGTATGGAGCACGGAGGTGAATTCGAATCATGGTTTAGAGGGAGCTTAAAGGCATAGATCACGTCTGAAATGGTCTCTGAGATTCTTCGTTAAGACGAATCGGCGACTACTAAGGAAAGCCTAAGGGATGCTGTCTGGTCGAAAAACAGTCAAGATGGGGCGTGACAAAGGCCCTTGGTTAGCCTACGTACACACCTGTAGAGGTTGGGCTATTCACACTGGGACCCACACCTTGCGTATTGCATTCAGCTGTATGCAATGGCGTCTGAACAGCTCGTCCAAATATCCCTTCCAAGAAACTTTTCCGTAACATTCTCGTCAAACCCCTTATTTTACATCTTTTTCGAAGCCTTATAGTTTTCTAAACGCACAGATTTCCACTTTTTCTTCGCCTTCTTTGCATTATTATAGACTACGCTCTCGTTACTCAACTGTAACTAGATAGCCCAGAACTATCGTTCAAAAAAGCCTCTAATTTTAAGAAGCAGCGAAGCATAGATGAAACTGTACATATTTCTCGCGGGTAAGCGAAAGGCGGAAAGGCTCAATCTCAAGGGTAATGCTGTGGTGCTGTGAAAAATTGTGTCATTTCAAATTAAAGTTGAAATTGCTAGCACCTACATCACTGATTGGTTGTATTTGGAGCCGTCTAAGTACATCCAGTCACGACTTGGCCCATCAGGGATCATTAGGCCTACCTGTAATTGCAGATTTTTTATCACTTTGACGATGAGCTCAAGATACACTCTACCTGAATATAACGCTCAGCAAATCGAGCATACGTTGGGGCGTAGTGGCTAAGGAGCCAATCCTAAAATCAGAAACGTTTGTTGGTGGCAGAAGTGAAGACTAAACAAGGAAACTTACAATCTGTTCTGCATCTCTCAGAACAACAAGATCGGAGTTTTGAGAAAGGCAAAACTCCCTAGCTGCGAGCCAACTCTGATCACCAGCATGGAATTGGTACAAATAACCATTCGGGCCAGCAACCCATTCCTTCGATTGATGGACGTTCGAGGAATGGTGGGCACCCTGAAATGTCTATATGTCAGTGTTCTCTAAAATACGTTGGATTCCATGAGAATGGGAGATGGAAGGGAAGTATTTTGCTTTTTGGATTTTATCCACAAACCTAGTCAGTTTCCTTATGAACCCTACCAAAGAAAAGTTATCGGAAGGATGTTTATAGATGCATCGCTACATATTTTGAGAACGTTACCATCCCTTTCCCAATAGGGCAACCACCACTTCTGTTTCGGAAACCACGGCATAGTATCGGATTTGATACGTTTCCGTTTACCTAGAGCGAATAAGTGCCACCCAGTGATCCCTTCTTTCTGGAACTGTGCAAGAAGCACCATATGCTCCGTTCAAAGGTTTGTATTTACAAGATATGATCGTCGGGTTGGCCGGTGGTTCCTTAATATTCATTTAACTAAGCGAGCAATCCAGGCGTGTACCTGCGTGTTACGGTCGGCTGTCAGAAATGCACGACATGCTCTTCCATCCCACTCTTTGAAAGTTCTGCATACAAAGCGAAATTGTCACCTCTGCAACCGCTGGTAAAACACTAAAGTACGGAGTCGCCTGTGCATTTGGAGGTGCAGGGAGATTTCGACATGCCGATGATGGTACCATGATGTTACTGAATGATAGTGATGGTCACAGTAAGCACCAAAAAAAGGAGATTAGCCATGCCCTTGCGCAAACGGCCAGTGTCAGTGTTTTTAGGTTAGGAACCCATCAATGTTCATGGCCTACACCTTGACGATTGTTTACACGCCTAACGTACCTGCTCTCCCGCGTTTCAGCATCTCTTCCTACACTAGTTCCCAGAAGGGCTGTTAAGGATTCGATTTTCTTTATCCCGGTCAGTCCGATGTTGTCGTGCTTGGTCTTTTTGGCTTGCAGAGTCGCATATACGATATGAGTTTTGAAAGCATCTATTCAAGAAAACGCTGGGGTAAGCGTTTGTAGAAGCAGAGACTAAAAGCACTTCTTCTTCAGACTGTGGACTACATTATTTCTGTTTTGTGAGGTTTTCTGAGATTCGTCGCTAGAAAGAAACTATAGCTCCCTCTTATGTCATATTGGGCGCTGTCGAGTCGGAAAATGACCGAGATAGGGCGCGACAAGAGCCCAAAATTGTCTTCCCTCTATGCCACTCCCAGAGGCGGCAGTGTTTTGGCGATCATGGAGAGGCTTCTTCTAATTCTGAATCCAGTCTTCTTCTAAATGCATGCAAAACGCACCCACTTGGCTACTTTTCAAAAGCCTGATATCTCTCAGGCTCCGAGTTTTTCACTCTCTCTTATGCACTGTTCCGCACCCCTTCTTACTTATTAAACTTGAAATAGGAACCTCAAAACTATCTGACTTTATCTCCAACCCGCTCTCTCTAGTGGTTCGACACAACGTTGCCATCTTGAATGCCCAGGTTCTGGAGTGGGGCTTCATGTGTATTGGGTACTGAGTTGAACTCTGTCCGAACGAGGTTTGTTTTTATAGGAGATGACACGGAACTGTCTCCGATATATACCCTATCACTCGATTGAACGTTTTCGCTGAGTCATTATACAGGGTACCCATCCACCCATGACGAGGGGTACACCCAGCACAGCCAGGCATGCATGAGAACTATGCCTCCGATGACACAACAGATAGTATTTAACTCAACGCCGTAGAAATGGCACAATCCTCCTCTTCAATCACTTACGCTCTAGAGCGAATACATGGCAGCTCTGAGCCCTTACTTTACTGTGTACTTTTCACACTCAGCCCATATTTGTGGTTGCACCTCAAAGCTTCATACCGCCTCGACGTCTTCTACTTAAAAAAAACTCTACATAGGATAAATCGCAGGCTTAGTGGACTTGGAGAATAGCGTATTTGAAAACATTTTGATTAGTTGAATTGTTTAGATCCATAAAGGGTTTGCCATCATTTTCAAACCTTTTCAGCTTGGAGCTTCATAAGAAGAATGAGGTTTATAGAGGAATTNAGAAGTGAAGACTAAACAAGGAAACTTACAATCTGTTCTGCATCTCTCAGAACAACAAGATCGGAGTTTTGAGAAAG